GGATATTATGAATCTGAAGTTGAAACATTAAAGTTTTAAAAGTTTTAAGCACTAAATCATATGGAGTACCATATTAGTTTATTACTTTGTACATTTATTCTTTTCAAATTTAAAAATTACGACATTCATTCATAGTCCGAAACATTGTATGCGCACAAAAACTAGTTACTTGCATTAAACTTGTCGTCCTATATTCAATTACAAGGATTATCTAACAATGTTAGCCACATCAAATGAATAAACTATATCTAATTGATAGATTAAGTTATATCTAGTCAATATCGGCAATCTACTAAAGATTAAGAAAAAGCAATTAATTAATACGTTTTCAAAAAATACCTTCTTTAATTAACTAGGTCCCAAAATAATATTCAATAAAGCTGGAATTTGACAAAATCATCATCATTTGTTATCATTAAACACAACTAATGTGTATAGCAAAATCCTTAATTTGGTAATATAATACGGAGTATCACAGGTTGTATAAAATGTCATACACTTCGTAGATTCTACCAAGTTTTTCATAATTTCATGTTAATTGCTCATAAATTCGTTACCTGCACTTTGCACCATGAAAAAGAAAAGTTAAATATCTGAAGATTTACTCATCTTAATAATCAAGAAAATTAGTCAGAAAATAGGTGGTAGTACAAAAAAAGATGGTTAAAACATCGCACTTTTAAGTGGAAAAATAATGATTTTGGTGGTAGTTAGTTAAAAATTTTAAAAGCCTTCAAAACTTCTCAAAAAAAAACATGAAAAAGTGGTGCCCACTAATGGTTACATTCCATGCATGACGTTTGATTAGTAGGCCAGGCCGGCAAATTAGTTAGCTAATCAAGATGGTAATGACAAACTAATCCATTAATTAATGATCCGTACTTGGGTACTTGATATACAAGTTGACCATATATGCAACACACATTACTTGTTTGTTGACTTTTTAATTGGTGAGACAGTTTTTTCCTCTATCTCTTAAAGATGACTCGATTTGATTTTTATGGTAAAACTATTAATATCTTCGTTTTTGTGTGTAAAAATTACTTGTATTACGAATTGCCCCGTATATTGTAATATTCCACACATTGACTAAAGCAAATTCAACAAGACTTTATAAATCAATGATGATCAAAGTTACAAAGGTTATTATATATACACTCGGTTGTACGGTGCATTCAAGGTATTTTTTTGCTTATTTTGATGATTAAATGATGATAGTTATTGCTTATTTAATCATTAAATGAGCAAAGAATAGACTTGGCGCATCTTCATAAAATATAATACATGAAAACTATAATATAAAGAATACTAGATTTAAACTCGTGCGATGCACGAGGTTCTATTAATAGTTAAATTAAACATTTAATAATATTCAATTGTAATAAAAAAAATTAATACATAATATTACTATTTTTTTAATCTTATACAATTAAGGTTAACGCATATATAAACACGGTATATTTTGTAAATTGTTTGTTTAAACAACAATACAGAACAATTCTTGAAGAAAAATAGAAAGAAAATAAAATATGTGAAACTATATGTATAACCAAATTTTTTTCAAATTGTAAACACGGTGAAAATATAATCTCCCAGGCTTCCATATTTTTTTTAAATCAATCGTTGATTGTGCCAGTTGATAAGTTGCATAATTAAACCCGCCCTCTTGCAAAATTAACACTTATGACTGATGTGGCTTATTAATTACGATCATCGATCATCGTTCATTGCGTGGGACAATAGATCGCGACAATAGATGAGTTTATATAGGATTTAAAAAATATTGGATTTAAAGTGGTGATAAAGTTTATTGTTAGATATGATAAATTTTGTTTACGTATAACTTAATCTTTTAGATGAATAAATGATAAATGATGAACATTTTTATTTTCTAGAAAAAGAAAAATGATATATTTTTAATTTAAATGAATTTTTTTTTTCTTATTTTTTTATCTAATCCAAAACTGATATATTTTTTTGTGAAAGAAAGCTGATTTTTTTTTAATTAAACGTGATTTCATTTTTTTTTATTAGTATTTTTTATAAAATATTTTATTGTAATCACTTGTCATATTTTCATTATTTTTTTTTATCAAATCCAAATTTTTTTTAAAATATCAAATAAATGTGAATTTCATTTTTTAAGTTTAATAGTATTTTTTTTATACAAAATAAAATAAATTGTTTATAAAATTTTCAATTTTAAAAGTTTTTTTTTAATAAATTAAAACCTTTAATTTTAATCTTACGTGATACTTTAAAATAATAATCCTATGTGGCATAATCCTACTTGTAACGCTCTAAAAATACTAATCCTACATGGTGCTCTAATAATTTTTAAAAAATTAAAATCCTAGGTGGCTCTCTGAAATCTTGGGAAAAACTCCCCTTTTGAAATCTTGAGAAAAAACTCCCCTTTATATATATACTAGATGGAAGCCCGTGTGATACACGATTTTTTCATCTAAGATTTTTAATTATTTGATTTATTGTATTTAATAATTTCAGACAAAATTACAGAAGTTTAATATTTTACTACAATTTATAATGAATTTATTAAATATAAATAAATTGTAAATATGATATTTTTTCCGTTATATAAGATCTTTAATGTGAAATGATAAATTTGTAATAATTTAAATCCTAAATCATTATTCATTATTTTACCATATCTTTTATTTCGATAAAATCACCAACCTTGTCCACAACCAACATGGATAAATTGAACCGGAAAATGTTAGCCAAACTAAAATTGATATAAATTAAATCTTTACATTTATATAAAATAAAGCAATATATTTACCAATAAATGAAAAATTGTTGCGATATAAAATCAAATTTATGCATTGGAATTTTTTCATCATCTCAAAAAATAACCAAAGTCATCCATATATTAAGTATACAACATCTAATCGTATTCCATTACATAAACAAATAATCGTTAAGTATCCTAAATAAATATAATAATTACAAATATAAATTTAAACATAAGATTTTAAATATTACCCGGACATTGATGACCTAAAAATAACACAAAATTACTAACACAAAACTCGCTTGATCGAGTTTTGTGTTGATACGAATTTTTATTTGTGTCGTATGATGTGTTAGATCTGCATGTAAAAAAACATTTAGTAAATAAAACATAAACATATAATCGTTGTATCCCAAATTAATACAATGTAAGTAATAATTAGAAATACTAATTTAAACATAGGATTTTAAAAATTAAGCTAAAAATTACCCGGTCATTGATGACAAAAAATTAACACAAAATTCGTTTGATGGGGTTTTTTTATTAATAAGAAATTTTGTTTGTGTTGTATGATGTGTCAATTTATAATGGTAAGTATCACAATTTTTTTTTTAATTATAATTAATGAAAAATTTGTATTTCTTATCATAAATACTATCAAAATTTATCTTATAATGATAGCTATCAAACTTTATTATAAGCGTTTATCATTTAAATATTTCTTAGTATATTTTTTTTGGATTTCTTATACTAGTATTGAATTAATAAATTTATCTTTTCCTATATTTTTACTTTATTTTTTTTCATTAAAATAATTTAATTCGTGGATTATAATCAACGTGACATTAAAATTTTAGATATATCAAATCTAATTCGTTACTTTTATCTAGGTGGCGACATAATTTTTTAATTCAAAAATAAAATACAAATCTTTCTTCTTATTGGTCGAAATAAGTATATTTCTTACGTGACGCTCTAAATGCTCTCAAAAAATGCCTACTTTATATTTATATATATATATATATATTAAATTAGATTTAACGTATTGATCCGGGGCATCGTTCAGGCAAAACACTACTGTTTTCCATCAAAACAAGCGAAGGATAATAAACTTCCTCCCATGATAAATCTAAAACCCCTGCTACAAAACAACGAGGCCTTAATGAGAGGCCCAAGTTTGTATAATCCGTGGTTTATACACACGGGTGTACAGTGCTCATCATACACCCGGATAAATAAAAAAAGGCGGAAAGAACATCCTGTGTTTCATAAAGAACATACATGTATTTAATAAAGAACATGTTTGTAATTGACAAAAACATGCATTACCAAAGAACATAAAGATATAATTAAAAGAACGAGATAAAAAATTAATTAAATTTTCTGAAAAATTACACATTATTAACGGAAAAAATTTAGAGGTGATAAAAAATCTAGTAGGGCCGGGCCATATCATAAGTTATCGTGCCCAAACCCGTAGAAAAGTAGCGGGCTTTCGGGCTTTTTTCTAACCCGATTTGAGTTTTAACTAAAAATGCATTTTTAGGTTTGCCCAAACCCACCCTATTTCGGGCCGGATCGGGTCGGGATGCGAGTCATGCCAATGTTGATCACCTCTTAAAAAATCCTTACCAAAGATATCATTTTTCCAAAAAATAGTTTTCTATCTCTCCAAAAAAAATTCAACTTCCCTTAATAATTTAGTTTTTTTTTACTCTAATATTATTTTCAATTAAAAATAATTTAAGATTCAATATCAAATTTCAAAATACCATATGTTAAAAGAACATAATTTATATTGTAAAGTACATATAGTTAATACCTAAATAACACACTAATCAAACTCAAAGAATGTACGATAATAAAAGTAATTTAAATATGACATATGGTAATAAAAATAGAATTTGGGCGTCACTACGACCTTAAAGAACATACACGCCAAATTCAAAGAACATAATTTGTATTATTAAACCCAAAAAAACATATATGTTTATCAACATATGTTAAATAACATAAGTTATAATGTAAAGAACATATAATTGTACTCAAAGAACACACTGATCACACTCAAAGAACATATTAAAGGTATGTTCTTTGTCAAACATTAGTATGTTCTTTATCAAACACTATATATTCTTTCCGCCTTTTTTTGTTTACCCGGATGCACTATGAGCATGGTGCACCCGGGTGTATCATCTAATTTTCAAAGTTTGTATAACATGAATTTTGGTCCCATCATAAACCATGTCCACATTTCCAATATTTAGTTGAAGGTTTGGATCACAAACTCAATCACACTAGTCACTTAACTTCATTTTTATATAATTTTTTTCTCTCTCCTCAAATCACCATTGTTGTTGTCCGAAATAGTTTCAAAAAAATCCTCCATTGAAATCGTCGCAACTTCTCTGTTTTCCTTGGATTAAATCATTATACCTGCAAATTCAAGGATTTTTTCACTAATTCGATTTAGGTTTTAGCTGATTCATCGATCGCATATTCTCCAGGTATATTCTCTCGCTTAAATCGCCTTTTTTAGCTACCTAAATCGTTAAATTGCTGCTATATTCATGATTTATTGTTTCAAAGCTCGAATTAATGTCTTGTAACTTAAATTACAACCTGAATTGAGATTTTTAGTTAATAATTGTCTGATAAATTGGCAGATGACGAAACAAACTTATGCTTTAACATTAACATTGCTTATTATCTGATGCCTTTTTCTTCTTTTATCTCTAGTTTTAATTGTTGATTAAATTAGTGTTAAGTATTAGTGTTTTTCATGATTGATGATTTTATATTTCCAATTCCAGTGTCTATATAATGATATGCTTTTGATTTTGATTAGTAATGGCAATTTAGTTTAACTTATCTTTGACAGTTTTTGCACATTGAAAAATTGCTTTATTCTGAGGTTTGAATGTCACATTCTGTTTAATCTATTGAAAAATTTAATCCTTATTAGGTATGGTTCTATACTTCCATTTGTATGTACTTCATACAATTATGATACTCTTATTCTACTTTGCCATTGCCGAATCGATGGCCTCTTAATCTTCGTTAGTGTCTTCCCATGTTTGTATTAGTGTTTTCCGAATCTATAAGCTTAATAATGTTGTTTCACTCTCTTTCTCAATCAGCCAAAGAAAAGGCAACATCAAATAACTTATAGGAGAGAGTGTAGAAAGAAATGAGTGAGAGGAAGAGTGAAGATGGGAAGCTACATCCATCTGTAAGCACTGAATTGGATTTGGACCGACCCAACATCGAAGATTATCTCTCTGAATCCCTCCCTGAGCCTCATGGCAAGCTTCGTTTGTACTTATCTCTCTCTGTCTTTATTTTTCCTTCTGATTAACAATTTTTTATTTTTTTTATTTTTAAAATGGATATATGTATTAATTTGTTTGGGTTGAATTGACTCAATTTTAGGAGGGACTTGATTGATCTTTCTCCCGCTCTTACTGAGGCTGCTGGCGCCATTGTTGATGTGAGTGATTTACTTTTTGATTGAACATATAGTGTGAACAAACATATTTGAACCCTTTTTATATCTTGTACAATGGTTGCTTGTTTTATCTCCTTCGGTATTACTTTGCTATTTTTTTTTTTTTTCCGTATCTTGTTTTCTTGTCATTTTCTTTCTAGTAAAACTTTGACTGTGTTGCGTGATTTAGTAAATCTTGTTTGTTGCAGCAAGGCTGTTTCTATCATAATATTATTGATAACACATTACACATTTACACATATGTTAGATTCTTTGGGCTAAAAATCAAAATGAGAAGCAAACCTTTGACTTTCAATGTCATGCTTCTGAGTATCATATGCTTGGGTTATGGCTTCTTTTGACTATCTTTTTTTGTTTAATACGTACTCAGGACTCTTTTACTCGTTGCTTCAAGTCAAATCCTCCAGAGCCCTGGAACTGGAATATCTATCTATTTCCGCTGTGGTGTTGTGGAGTTGTTATGAGATACTTGATTATTTTCCCAATAAGGTTAGCTTTCAAATCGATTAAATGAAACCACTTTTTCTTAAAAGCGGTGTCAATAAATTTTCCAAGTTAGAGGGTATTTGAGTTGGTTTCTTTGATTTGACTGCCACTTAAGAGGTGGTTACGCAAGTCTTGAGGAAATTTGTCCACTAAAGATGAGATAAAAATATTTGTCTAGACGAACATGTAGAATATGCATTAAAGGTGGGAAAATCATGAGCATGTGAAACAATGTGTTTCTAAATTTGTCTAGACAAACATGTTAAATATGCTTTGAATGTCAGTTTGTGTAGGTGGCCATACTGTAGTGAGATAATGAATATATGAAAATTTGAGTGGAAAGTGACACAATTTGATGGTGAAGTTGGTTTTGGTGATTAATGATTCATGAGGTTATTGTAAAGATTAATTGAAGGCATGCCATGACACTTCAAATTTTGGACATTCTTTTGGTGCAAAGAAATGGTCTTTCTATCAATCATCAATTGTTCCATTTTCTTTAAAAAAATATGTCAAGAGGAAGTGAATAGGTTTGCGGCTCCCAATTCATGATTCATATTCTTTGGCCCTGCATCAATTTATAGAAAGGAAGTAATCTACGATCACTACTGTAGTTAGATGCTGTATTGTTTTGAGACTCTTTGCACTCTAAGTTTGTTGCTGATAGGTTAATGAGAGTTATGTTCTTGTAATAGAGCTCATAAATCTTATGACTACTCCGCACTGTGCTATTCTCCAGCTGACGCTTGTTTAATGTATTTCCGCAGAGTTCTAGTTTTGACACTTGGATGGATGATATTCCTTTCTCTCTACATGCCTGTTCATTTCTTATTAAAAGGGCATGACAAGCTGAGGAAGAAATTAGAGGTACAGTTCTCCACTTCCCGCTTTTTTTTATTTATTTTTTTACCGGGGGTTCAAGTTTAAGCACTAATACATGTTTAAGAATTCATATATATTCTTTTGTTCTTTGGAATATAGTTTCCCTAGAAAAAGAACTAATATGTGCGTGTCGTGATAGCAGTGCTGCTTATACTGCATATTTCAAACAACTACAATAGTCATTTTAGGTGCATGTAATGGCATGATTTTAATTGGTATTTGAGAGTTGGGGAATGGGGACATACTACCTGATATAGGACCTATTATAACCATATACTAACAGAATCTGAAATTGGTATAGCATGGCTGTACCAAATACGCAAATAGTAAACTAGTGCTCTATTTACAAAACTGGTAGTTTGTAACGATACCCCATTTACAGATTTTATACTTCCAAAATAGTGAACCGCAGAAACAATAACTTTATAATTATATGCATGATTTTTTCCGCTCAAATATATTGATTTTAGGATTTTGTTTGGAATTGGATTGTTTTATTGTTTACATTATGCGTTTGCTTGAATGATGAAAGAGAAACAGTAAATTGTTGGAGATTGCTTAGTAGTCAACTCCATGGTTTTGAGTCACGGATGCTGTTGCGATTTCAGTAGTGTTTGCTGAACCACTTTCGCGGGCAATGCGGATGGTTTGTGGTCTGATATACTGTATTTGCAATAAGCTTAACTATCCTCAAAATGCATTTGCAATGTGGCTGAGTTTAATACCATGGTCAAGTCATTGACTTTGTTATGTTTTCCTTAAATTCAGGATTTGTTAGTTGTAAGGTTGCTATGATATAATTAGTAGTGTAAGTAGATTGCTTCATGTAATAGTTAGAATTGTCCAGAAATAGCTTGTATGCGTATTACAATGTAGAAATAAGAAACTTTTTCTCTCAAGCCTGAGCTCAACTTGAGTAGCAATGTCAACTTCTTATCTTTAACAATCTTCTACTCTGAAATTCTCTAATTCTAACATGAAGTAAAAAAGTAATTTTGCTGAAGTTGGGAGGAGAGAAAATAGGTTTTTGTAAGTTAAAAAAGGGCACTCTAGCCGTTTCAACTATTAGCATTTGGGGAAGCAAAAATACTTGTAGGTGTAAATGAAGTTATGAACTTTGTTTAAAAGGTTCTCTATTATTTTTGAATTGGTAGTCCTGAAAATACCTGCGGTGACATTTTTTGTTTCATTTGATTTCCTATCAGCGATCTCTTGTGGAGCTTATTTGCAGTTTCTTTGTTGCATCTTGGACTGGGGTTATTAAGTATCATGGGCCACGGCCGAGTGTGAGATCTAAGCAGGTGATAATATCTGTGCTGTCTTTTTTTTCATCTATGTTTTTTCCCATATTATGTACTGTAAATTGATCTTTTGTTTTTGTTTCAAACAGATTTTCGTGGCCAATCACACATCCATGATTGATTTCATTGTTTTAGAACAAATGACTGCATTTGCTGTCATTATGCAAAAGCATCCTGGCTGGGTTGGTAAGGATTTCAAAGCAATGGATATGCTAACAATTCTCTTTGCGTGTTCCGCCTTTTAGAATTTGATGTTTTTGGTATGCTGTCACGGATTCTGCTTTTCTGTATATTACTAGAAACTTGATGGTCAAAGGATACATGTTAATGAATGATGTATGATTAGAAACCAACATGTAATTTTGTTGATATGTTGCAACTTGAGAGTTTCAGAACTGGAGTATTTCACGTTTACAGCTTAGGGCTTAATAATATCATATAACATATTGCAAAGCTGCAATCAGAGTATCAGACATCGAATAAGCTGAGTCTAACACAGATGCATGTAACGTTGATTTTTAAAAATAGCGTTTTTATCATTGTAGTGTCCTATTTAAAAAGGGTAAATCTATGTAGTGACTTGGTACTGTTGTCCTTTTTGTGCAGGATTGCTGCAGAGTACTATTTTAGAAAGTCTTGGATGTATTTGGTTCAATCGTGCAGAAGTAAACGACCGTGCTGTTGTACAAAGAAAGTGCGTGTCTGGAAACATTCGAGTTTTGTATCTTACCTAGGCTTTTCTAAATTTCAAGTTTACATTTGCAGGTTGAGGGACCATGTGCATGGGGCTGACAATAACCCGCTTCTGATATTTCCTGAAGGAACTTGTGTTAATAACGAGTATACAGTTATGTTCAAGAAGGTAAAGATTACTATAATATAAGTTTTAAATGCTACTGTTGTGAACTTTTGGTTGAAATTTGTTGGCAGTAACTTGTTCTTTGATGCTTAACTATTATTTTTTTTCTTCATTTAGGGTGCATTTGAGCTTGACTGCCCTGTTTGTCCTGTAGCTATCAAGTACAACAAGATTTTTGTTGATGCCTTCTGGAACAGTAAGAAGTAAGGGATGCTGTGAGCTTCTTTCTTGATTCTGCATGTCACATAAGGATATTTTCTATTGCTGCATTGATTGTGTCTTTCATTCTTTCCTTTTTGTTTGAATTTCTCTTAGATTCTTCAGGCATCATTTAAGTTTCTATGCTATGGTCATAATTCCTTTCGGCTTGTGATCTAGTAATATACAAATCAACCTTAGAAATTAGAATTGTTCTTGTTCTAAACCAGCAAGTCTTGATGTTTATAGGTGGTTAGCTGGTTGCTTCTTTGTGTGTGTTTCTTGTGACTGCAACTTGTGACTCCTTTAGAAACATCCATAATTTCTAGTATCCAACCTGTTTTATGTTCACATGACCTTGGTGGGATAGAGACAAAGAAAAAGGAACAGATTAAAGAAGAAAAGAAAAGAAATTTGGCAGATACTTGATCTCTATGCTGAGCCCTAAGCCCCTAAGTGTCCATTTGGTAATATGCCTGCTAATAGACATAGTTTAGATAAATTAAGTCTGATTTTAGTGTGCCAGTAAATGTCCATCACTGTTGTATTTTCATCTTTTTGATTATTTGAAAGCTAGACTCTTGAATATCTGGTTATCTCAGGGGATTTCTGAACTCTATATATATGCAGGCAGTCATTTACAACACATCTGCTTCAGCTAATGACATCTTGGGCTGTTGTTTGTGATGTTTGGTATCTAGAGCCCCAAACAATAAAAACGGGAGAGACTCCCATTAAATTTGCCGAGAGGTGAATGAGTATTTCTATCTCCTTCATTTTGTATAATTTTGAGATGTTGGGTTCTTTTTTTTTTTTTTTTTTTTTTTTTTTTTTTTTTTGTGTGTGTGTGTGTAATGTATTTCTCTTTTTGCAGGGTTAGAGACATGATCTCTCATAGAGCAGGCTTGAAAAAGGTTCCTTGGGACGGTTACCTGAAGTATTTACGCCCTAGCCCTAGGTTCACAGAGAGCAAGTAAGTTCACCCCCCCTCCCCCCACACCCTTCCGTAAGTCCAATTAAAGTAAAGCAAAGGTTTTTTAATCTACTTGCCCTCCTCATACACGGGATTCAATTACTTTAACATTGCTTTCTCTTGGCCACCCTCTTCTTTTGTACCCTTCTTTCTTATTTTAAGGGCATGAGGGTCTTTTTTTTTTTTTCTTTGGTGGTGTTGGGGGGGGGGGGGTGTTGCAATCTAACAAAGAGGCTTGCTTAGTTAAAAAATTGCTTGTGTCCATTTGGACTAGTGTAACCTCTCTTTGGTACTTAAGTAGTGCTTAGTTGGTATCTGGTTAAGTACAGATACACTTCTTAATCAATACCATTGTATAGGGGTCGCAAGCCATTATGGCCAAAGACTTCCTCATATATCAAGGGAGCAGTAACAGAAAAAATAAAGAAAATGAAGGTGGTGGCAGATGGGATGAGGTAGAGCCTGTTATAAGGAGGGAGAATTGAGGGTAATCTTGGGGGTTGTCCTTTTATCGCCGCCGTTCATCAATGCTTCTCCCCCCCCCCCCAAAAAAAAAAAAAAAAAAAGTTTCCCATTTTTACGTTTCTCTTGGGTTTTGGTACAACTACAGATATATCTATCCCTAATTCCCAGGTACAAAATATTGACCTTGAATATTTCGTATGCACAGGCAAAAAAGCTTTGCTGAATCAATATTGCGACGTTTTCATGAGAAGTGAAAGTTCTAATTCAAGCTCAAGCTCGGCCTTTCGGTTAGCTCCTCCTTTCAACAACTTGTTAGTGTATTTAGTCAACTGATTTCTTCCTCTTGATCCTTATATAGAACATAGAGTTTTTTTTTATATATGATGTTGCATGTAGCTGTCTTTTCCTTGATACATTTGGTAGGAAGTTTTTGATTTGACAGAAATGTTTGATTCTGATTTTCTAATTAAACTTTGACTCGCAAATGCTAGCACTTGTTTATAACACTAAGAAGAAATTAAAACCAAATCAATGCTTGTGCTGTGTTTTCATTATTTATATTTTGATACTAATATTTTTTTTTTGATTTTGTCTTGGTTTTTACTTTTGGTCTTGTCTATAAATAAGTCTTTCTTAAATTAGTTAATTTAAGTGCAGTTGATATATATCCCTTTCTAATTGCTACACTTTTTGGGTAATAATTGATAACAAGTGTAGTTTGCAGATAATTTTTTTTAGTTATGCATAATTTTGTAATTTACTGATTTGATCCAAACCAAAATTGTCCTGATCCAAACATGACATGAATTGGTCTCGTAATGACAACGTAAAAAGTCATGACCTGACCGAGCAGCTTGACCTGAAACAACACACTTTGGATCATTTTAAAGGAGTGTTGATGTGAAGTCGCAGTGTCTTAGCTCAGACGATCCTAGCATAATGAATTCTGAATTAGTTCCTTCCCAATGATTATGTGGTTATATACTAAGATTTCTGTGGCTACTCGGTAGGGCACAAACCCATCTGCAAGAAACCAGAAAATAATGTATATGGGCAGCCATTAAATGTGGCATGTTTTTGGGGTTTTTCTTAGGAATAAGTGAGGACTTTATGATTCTTCTCTTGTCAAATCTGTGATTCCTTATTAGCAAACAAATCTCCAGGCAAAGCACGCAATAACATGCACTACTGAAACATTTGGAAATTGTTTTTTCTGGGCTCTTGATCTGTGGTACTTAGATAGGTGAGGTTATTTCCAATTTATTTCTCTTAGTTTATGCTGTTATCATCTGTTGATTATAAGCTCGAGGTATTGGAGTGTCAGACTGTCAGGGAGTTGCAACTTGCCTGTTAGTATAGTCCGAGTATGTGATTAAGTTTTTACCCATAGCAAATTTTTGAAAAATCGATTTGGGGATAGTTTAAGACTTATGGAGTAATTTTGTAGGTGAAACATCGTGGACAGGTCATTCATAGTCAAGGTGGTGGAGACCCCTTTCCTATATCATCATATTTCATTATTTCTTAACTTGTAATCTCTACTTTATACTTCATTCAATATCAATTTTTTACACTCACACTTTAATACAGTAGGAGTGTATTAGAGTTACCAAGCTGTACCTGATTATTTTCATTTTGCAAACAAATCTTATGTTTACATAAAAATGTTTTTCAAAGGAGTGTTTGGAAATAATCTCCCGGCCGTAACGCCTATGTGGGCTATATCATTTTGTACAGATAGCTCAATAGTTATCCAAGCAGCTAAATAAGTACGGAGTATATTAAACTAGCAAAACAGAGCGCATGCACCACACCAACTGTTCGTTAACTTTCTTTAATTTGTACGAGCAGTTTTTTCATTCCTTTGAATTCTCGAATTCTGCCGTGTCCACTTGTGAATGTTGTTGTTCAATTGTTCAACATTGCTTGATATTTTTTTTTTAATTGAAAAAAAAATCCTTTTCTACCAGTGCCTCAATTTTTCTCTTTAATCTTTCTGGTAATTTTGCCTGATTCAGTCTTGACAGGTCCGATATATCGTAAAGGTTTAACAATCGTCATCAGACTTTGGTTAATGCTGTGTACTAACACTAAGATCAAAAGCTTGTCTTTTGGATAGGTAACTAATTGGTAGTTAAAGTGTACCTATGCTTTAGTTTAAGTGTGAACAATCTAAGCATTTGACTTTCGGAAACCAGAATGAAGGAGAATGTGTTCATGTGGCGTACGCTATGCCGAAAACTCTGGGTGTGACTTCTATTTGGTCAACGCCGGGACGCCATTATTGTCCAAATTATCAAAGTTCTAATCCTTAAATTTTCTCTGTTCTATCATACGACCCATGTTGTTGGGTGTCACATCATTATGCATATACATTTATAATCATAATTTAAACGGCTATTTCACCAAATGCCACTGAGTAATTTCGAAATTCACCAAATGTCATCGAACTTTTCCAAATTCACCAAACGCCACCGAGTTTTAACAAAATTCACCAAATGCCATTTCCGTTAGTTGACCGTCGATGTCCGTTAGTTGACTGTTAGTTAGACCCCACCACTTGCCACGTGTCACCTTCTGATTGGTCCGTTTTAAAAAAAATAATTAAACAAAAAAATTAAAAAAAAAAACCAAAAAAATTAAAAAATAAATAATAATAATAATAATAATAAAAGAAACCCAAACAGCCTCCCTCCCTTTCCTCCATAACTTCCGACCAACACCACAACAGCCACCCCCTTTCCCCTACCCTATCCCGTCGCGACCCCCTAACCCGCGAAACCCCATCCCCTTCCTCCACCACCCCGAAACCCCACCCCCCTGAACTTTTCTTTTGTTAATTTTGATTTTTCGATGATTTTAATGTTTGTGGATCTGATGTTGATTTTAATTTATTTGTTTGTGAATTAAGGTTTTCTCATTTTTGTCGTAGTTTTTGTTGGGCTTTTTGGGAGATGAACAAGGAATGAGTGGGGTGAGTTCTTGAATTAATTCATCTGGGTTATTAAGGAATTGAAATTTGTTTTCGATTTCGGCAAATTTGATGTCGAATTGTGATTTACCTTATAAGAATTCAATGTGATTTACCTTACCCCTTCCAATTGCTCCATTGAAGCTCACGCTAGGCAAGATGTGTGGGGTGAGTTCGAGGCTGCGCAAGGGGAAGGGAGGTGGTTTCGGGGCTGGCAAAGGTGGTTCGAAACTAGGCAATTGGGGAGGTGGTTGTGTCAAGGTTAAGGCACGGGGTTTGCGTGGATGGTGTGGCTGGGCAAGGAGAGGGAGTACGATTCCGGGAAGTGGAGTATGGTGGTCGGAAGTGCCGGGGAAGGGGAGGAAGAGGGTATTCGTGGTGGTTGTGGGAGAGTGGGGTGGTGGCAGTGGTGGAGATTGGGAGATGCTGGTGGTTGTTTTTTTTTTAATTTATTAATTTTTTAAAGTATTTTACCATTTTTAATTTTTTTAAAATTTTTTTAACTTTTTTTTTTATAATTTTTGTTTAATTACTTTTTTTTTTTTAAAAAAATGGACCAATTAGAAAGTGACACGTGGCAAGTGATGGGGTCCACTAACGGTTGTCGGTCATTAAGGCGTTTGGTGAATTTGGAAAAGTTCGATGGCATTTGGTGAATTTCGAAATTACTCAGTGGCATTTGATGAAATAGCCGTAATTTAAATCTAGATTAGTAGACTAAAATAGTATATTAATGCATACTTACTAATTATATACTTGTAAACAATATTATTAATCACTTGAGACTGTGCTGAAGCAATTCACCTTGACTAAGGCCCTGTTCTCTTCACCTTAAAAAAAATAATATTCAGTAAAAATAACTAGTATAAGACCCGTGCAATTGCACGGTTATAAAAGTTCAAATACTAAATTTTATAAAATTAAAACAATAGTTAATTTATTCATAATATTGAAAACTTATATACAACAATATAAATCACAATAATGTACGACCATTTATCACAATAATTACTCATTTATGATATTTTCAATTTAATGTTTTTTAAAAATAAAGACATACTAAAGATATGAAAAATAAGGTTTATGGCCTTTATATATTTGGATTATATAAAGGCCATAAACCTTTAATCATAATAATTTATATATGCCTATATACATGTCTCATGTATTACCCTTTATGTGTATGTTTATTTAAATCAAGCTAATAAAACATACTCTCTTCGTCCCATAAGGTTGTCATAGTTTCTTTTTTTTTTTTTTTTAAAAAAAAAAAAACCAATTTACAAATGCCCATATTATACATTTTTATCTTAAAATGATCAAAAGATACACCAATATAAATAAAAGTTACCGTGATATATCTGTTTAATGTAAACCATATATCTAATTATCTATCAATATTTAAAATCTAACATCAACACTTTAATATCTGATATCAACAATTAAATATTGATATCAATATGTGTAATATCAGATATCAAGATTTAATTTTAATATTTGGTATTAAAAGTTTAATATGGAGTATCTGATATTAAAACTTTAATATTATATATCAACAATTTAATGTATCTAATATAGTAGCTTAGCATCTTCATCATTTTGATCAAAATCATACCAACACTCCAGACACTTGAAGTTGGTGTCACACAGTGATACCAACATTTCCCAACCTCTTATAAGGTCTCCCTATAAAGATCAAACTCACTATTCACCTTCAAAATCATATTTTAATAATCAAATCATTCTACATATGTCCTAGCTTGAACATGTAAAATCAAAACCCAATTTGAAAATCAACCCGCAAACTCAGCTACATGTTAGCCTCAATTTCTCAAATCCACAATCAGTGTTTTCTTACAATTCCTTTTTCAAGTTATAGATTTCAAAAAATTAGTCATCCAATTTAGGCTCAAGAATTATCGAATTCCTTTTCAAGTTTTGCCTTGTTGCAGCTCCTCGTTTCTTTTTGTGGGTTTTCTTGATTTTATCCAAAGAAACAAAATGAAACCCAAATCCAATTCTTCGTAAATTATATATCAAAGTAATAATATACAATGTGTTATCATCGAATTTATTGCGGAGGTAATAGTAGGAATTTGACTCCTAAATCCTAATGGTCGGAAATGTGTTCCAAATTTCTAATTATTGACTGATATATTCAATATATAATACGGAGTAATTTTTCAATCATAGCTATATTTATTTATTTCAATATTCTATGCTTGTAGCCATTTTTTTTCAGACACAATTTATTAAAGTATATATTTCTACTTGTAGTCATAATTGAAACGATATGTTCAATATATAAATACAGAATAATATTTTCATTCATTATATAAGTAAAGAGCTATATTCATTCATTTCCTTCAATATTTTATGCTTGTATTATTTTTTATTTTTTTGCTGTAATGTATTTTATTATATATTTCTACTTGTAGTCGTAATTTGAAAGTCATAGGGAGTTGATTTCAAAAATTACTTCATATTATAATATAATCATGTGATTATATTACAATATGAAGTAATTTTTTAATAAAGTTAGAAATATTTCGTATGATTTTCATATAATATCAAATGTATACTTATTATTTATAATATCTTTCAAGTATATTTGCATATTTGTCACATATTTCACGCATGATTTTTTTTTTTTTTTTTTTTTTTTTGAGGAATATTGCACATATAATTTAAGATAAAAAAAATATTATGCAATTTTCTCACATAAGATCTAAATTATTCATAAGATATTTTAAAATCTTTTAATAACTGATCTTATCAGTATAGGCTAGTTGATCTTTTAAAAAGTGAGTTAATCTTTTAATAACTAAGTTAACTTGTAAAATCTTTTAATAATTGAAAAAATTAGTTATAATAGGGAGGAATTGATTTTGTAAGTATATGCTTTATAAAATAATCTAATAAAGTTATTTTTACATATTTTTTTATATGAATAATTTATTTTGCCGTGCAGGAATATATATTTTTAGTTATATGAATATATTATATTAGATTATTTTGTAAATATAATGAATATAATAACCTATATTTTGCCTTGCAAGAATATTTTTTTTAGTTATATGAATATACCTATTTATAGTATATATATTGCGATATCACAATCTTAGTTGATATATTTAGAGGTGGAAAAATGAGCGAAAAAGTTTTTAAGCATAGAGTGACACGTGTCAAGGTGTAGCTTGAGTGTCCTATGTTTTAGTATAGTTATAGATAGATTTCAAACCCTTGACTAAGGAACTAATATTCAGTAAAATTAATTTCAGTGCAGCAAAAATAATTTTAGTTCGGTAAAAATAATTTCAGTTCAGTAAAAACCAGTAAATTTAAAGAAGAAATATAATAGAAAATCAATAAAAATAATTTCAGTTCAGCAAAAAAAAATTCAGTTCAGTAAAAAAAAATTTAGTTTAGCAAAAATAAGGTGAGGTGAACAGGGGCTAAATTAATTTAATAAGTTAAATGCAGTGAAATTATTAGAAGCTTTGCTGTAAGTCATTATTAGTATGAAGTTATAAGATGGACTATTAGTATGAAGTTATAAGATGGACTATCATTTATGTAAGATTATTAAACGGCGACTAAACTAAATCTATGATGAAATGAACAGTATGCCTTTCATTAGATAGAATAATTTTCATGTGAAAGTGCCAACTTGTCCACTTACGCTACCTGGTTCCAACACGCCGTTGTAAGTTTGTAAAGAATATGAAAGAATTGTACAACAATGGAATTTGACCCAACTTGTTCTCAAAAAGAAGCTTGACTCTTCTGTCAACCTTCCAATTTTTGTGCCCTCGTGACAGTCTTTCTGTACTCCATGGAAGAAATGAGTCATTTTTCATAAGTGTTAAGCAAAATATGTAAATTATCATTGTTTTTATATAAGGAAAATGCTATAGGCAGCTTCTAAAATGATTTATGCGTGAGCTTTTTTTAAATGATTGTGAATAACTATGGCCATCAAGGCATTAATAACTGGGAACTAAATTAAGATTTACACAGTGCTATGTAGAGTAGCTCAAAATAGATTACTCCGTGGTTCAATACAATAGTTGTATACTTACATTATTTTAGCTATATTTACAATATTTATTTATTTATTTATTCGGTATAATTATTGGAATATCGCCACGTCTTGTGTGTGGCTGATTATATCATATGACCGCTTGTAAAAAAACAATGTAACCTATAACACTAACTGAGTAATCCTGTAACATTAGCAATGTAACCCCTATAACATTGACCGGATAACCCCTATAATACTAACGAAGTAACTTGTGTGGCCAACCCCGTATTGTATAAGAATTTGCGTTGGAACATATATATGGCTCACAATGTATCCCAACTTAACCAATGATAAATAAGAAATTTCAAATATTATGCTAGTGTATATGTCGACATGTCATAAGGGATGCTATTATTAGAGCAAGTTGCAAATTAAATTTACTCTAATACCCTCCAAAAGAAGGAGCCCTCCAACACTATTTTATCACTATCGTAGACTAAAACAACATTGTTTAGTCAAAGTCCACTCTTTTCTTCAACCCTTCATTCAACCAACTAGACAAACAAACCCAAAAACCACGTTAAATTCATCCCTCCCTTTAATCAAAGTTCCAACTTCAAACCTCCTATCTTTCATTCTTTCTCCCTCTTTAAAACAAGAAACACAAAACTAACACTCCCACCTACAATAACAACAACAATGACAATCCTCCTCATCCCACTCTCCTTCCTCCTCCTCCTCCTCTCAACACCAATTATCTCTGCGCAAGCACCACCACCCGCCTTCCGGTGCTCGACAAAGTCCACTTGTCGTGCACTGGCCGGCTACATCTCCCCAAACACAACCACACTAGGCCACATCCAATCACTCTTCCAAGTCAAAACACTCCGGTCTATCCTCGGAGTGAACAACCTCCCTCCAAACACCCCTCCGAGTCATACCATTACCGGGAACACAACCATCAGGATCCCTTTCCCTTGCCATTGTCGCAACGGGACAGGGATCTCTAACCGTGTTCCTAAATACACTGTTGTCAAAGATGACGGTCTTTTTCATATTGCTAGTCAAGTGTTTTCTGGACTCGTGGATTACCCTCAAATTGTGGCTGCTAATGGAATTAAGGATCCAAATCTCATTATAACTGGTCAGAAGTTGTGGATCCCACTTCCTTGTAGTTGTGATGACGTGGAGGATCAGGAGGTGGTTCATTATGCACACGTGGTGGCTTCTGGGAGTAGTGTCAGTCAAATTGCGGCCGAGTTTGGGATGAGTTCGGAAAGTTTGATGAAAGTGAATAATATTTCTGATCCTAAGAGTCTCATTGCTGGTCAAGTTCTTGATGTCCCTATCAAAGGTTCTTTCTCTCTTCTCTCTCAATTTTATTAAAATCGTCTGTTGATAATGTAATTTGCCTTAGTAATGTGATAATTAATTTGCCTTGAAAAATGAAATAATTTTAATTAGCACAGTAATAAATAGACTCTTATATTGAAATATGTATTACGCGACATTAAAATGGTATTATATCATAATTTCGATGAAAATAAAATTTTAAAAGTACGGATATTTTTATATAAGGTGTATAATTCTTATTTATATTTATCTATTTTTATAAAAAATGATAAATAATAATAAAAAAAAAAATAGATTGCACGGATTCTGACTTAGTCCTAATTTAAAACATAGGAAGGGATAGATTCGAATACGAGAAGAAATGACAAAGTAAAGAAATAGTTCCGAAATTGGATTTTGTAGTCAGAAAAAGCCTGTTATGTCCACCCACGGTTTGCATTTTGCATGTGCACGTGCTTTGCTATTGAGTTCTTCTTATAGCTGTCAGTTTATGACCCGAATTGTTAAACCCGGCTGTTTCAAACCGATTCGTAAAAGAATCGAATCGTTAAAAATTCATTTTTTGAAACCAAAAACTGATCGAACTCAATTTTTTCCAACCCGTAACTGAACTGAATCGAAGTTGTGCAAACCGTTAATGACCTGACCCGTTATCAAATCAAACCATTACAATCAAAAACCGAAAGCACCCCAAACCGATTATGTCCGAACCCGATAGTAACCCAATCCATTCTAAACCGAAAATTGTTTAAACCCGGCAATAATTTCGATTAACCTTAACCGTTTCAACCAGTAAACCGCTGTGACCAAACCGTTTATAACCTGTAACCCGTTAGAACTGAATCGTTTACAGCCCATAACTCGTTAAGACCGAAATGTTTACAAACTATAATCCATTATGACTGAGTTGTTTACAACTCGTAACCTAATATGTTTATGATATGATCCGTTTCAATCCACTACTCGATAAACCCAACTTATTTAAGATTTAACTCGATTATAACCTAACCCGTTCCTACCCATTATCTGATTAACCAGACTCGATAATGATCCGACTCGATTTTAACCTAATATGATTTGAATTGAAACACGCTTCATATTGGATAATACTGTTTCCAAACAGACCCAATTCAATCCAAAATTCCAAACCGATTATGACCTTAACCAATAATAACCCGACTCGATTTCACCCGATCTATTTTGAACCGAAACCTGTTTTCAAACCGACCCAATTTAACCCAAACTGATTATGAGTTGAACTGATTAAACCCGACCCGATTAGGACTCGAACTGTTTTGAACCAAAACCCGCTTTAAACTGGCTAAAACCATCTTCTAACCGACCCAGTTTAACCCAAATTGATTATGACCTGAACCGATTATAACCTGATCCGATTTGGACCCGACCCGACTAGAAACCGCAATTAAAAAAACTAAACCGAACTAACCCGATAATTTTCAAAACCGACCCGCTAATCATTTCAACCCGTTATAAATCAATCCGTTATAACCCAAAACCGATAAACCCAACCCAAAACTGAACCGTTTATCCAAATTGACAACTCTAATTTTACCTAATTTCGAATTACTCTACCATAAAATAACAAAACTGGACCATAATAAACCATTTTTTTTTTTTTGAAGGACCATAATAAACAATTATTCTAACATTTGAATTATATTTGTTTAATTACTCCAAGGTTTAACAACGGCATTACTTCTCGAAAAAAACAACGGCATTATATTATTTGAAATGCTATAAAAATTACTAGTAGTTTTTGTCAGTTACATAGGTGGATAACAGCATTAATTAAGGAGTAACCTTATTATTAATTAGAAATTTTTGGAACTATTACTTGTTATAGGTCGCCAAAATAATGAAATTATGTTTGAATTTTTAACACGGGCTATATTGCAATAGTATAATGTTCAGAAAATTAGTGGGCAAGTTGGGGTTAGGCCCACTATTATTCAACCCACTTATCTTTAGCTTTACATGGGCCCACGGTTTACTTACACATTCTCTTGTTCCCATAGTTTCACACTTGTGTGTTGCGGCTAATGAGTAATGAATTTCAAACTCATGAAAATTTAGGCTTTCTTATACGTAATTGATTGCGTCATGTGAGATATAAGAGATGAGTTATTTTCGATGGATAGAATTTTACTCTGTAACATGTAAAGAAGATTGAGAGGCCGAGAGAGTAGTGGAAAATTGTTGAAGAGGTCAAAAATTTTTGAAAGTAGTTTTAAGGCGGTAAATAGTTCAAGTAATATGTTTTCACAAGAAAAATAATGTTAGGAAAAATATACTGGTAAAAAGCACAAATAAACACTAATCAAATAGTGGAATGACATGTATAGAGAATATTTTTCCAACATTTATAATGCCATATTGTTGAAACTGCCAAAATGAATACTGTTTTTTTGGGACATCTCTAGCTGACTAGAGTATGATTACTATGATAAGATGTACTCGTACAGTCGTAAGCCAGTGAATTAATGCCTAGCACTCAAGTTTATGTATGTGCATATAACTGTGAAAGTAGATGTGAACTTTCATTAATAATAATTCATGATTATACATTTGGTCAAATTTGATAGAGCTAAAGCACTAAGCAAGCAAGAACTCGTCGTTCTAATTGATCGGAGTATTAATAACTTATGTACTTAAGTTCACACGCTAAGTTTCAAATTGCATAAAGCAATGAATTGTTCTGAATATAGAAGATGGTGTGTTAAAGTTATACTCTCCGTAATTCTAGTGTCATTTTCACAATGCTGCACCACAATCCTTCAAAATCTCAATACTCAAATTATACACCAGCATTTTGATCAAAGAGGTCTTCATTTGTTGCATTCTTTTCCCTTCATTTTTTACCTCAGCTCCATGATAATTATTTTTTACAAATATATCTGATGCAGCTTGTAGCTCAACTATAAATAACAGCTCCTCTGATTCCTCGTTGCTAGTCGCCAATGACACGTACGTTTTTACTGCCAACAACTGTGTAAGGTGCAGCTGTGACCCGACAAATAACTATACGTAAGCTCATTCTTTGTATCATATTTGTTCAGTTTAATCAACTATTTTCCCTTGCATAAACTTCAACTAATCTAGCTTTGTAGTGTGTACTTACATTTACTATGATGCTCGTATGGCTTGTTTTAGGCTGCAATGTCAACCATCAGGACTTAAAGCAGTGAATTGGCCTACATGTCCTGCTATGAAGTGTCCTGATTCGAATTTGTTACTTAGTAACTCGACTACTTCGAGCTGCAGCCGTACAACTTGTGCCTATGCTGGTTACAACAAACAAACCGTTCTCACAACACTTGCTGTTGAAAACACTTGTCCCGGTAATCTTTAAATTTCTGTACTGTCTAATAAACATTTGATCATACACGATTACACGACATTCATATGCGCTCTTGATGGAAATAACCAATTTCTATGATTATATATTGAATTAAGGAGCGTATATAAACTGTTTAAATCAATTCAACCTGCTATACTTCAGCACAAGAGGGTTGAGTTCTTTTTTGTTTTTTTTGGTAGCATTACATTTTAAGTCATAGGAAGATTTCCTTAGGAATACCATGCATAATGCAATAATACAAGTATTGTATAGCTTAATGTATATTTGCAGTGATTTTGTACTTGATAAAGTTGCTGACGGTTAGCTCTGTCTTTGCCTCAATGTTGTAATGCAGCCCCGGGATCAAGTGATGACAGCAAAGGATCTCGTTCGAGAGGTTGGAGTTTGGCTATTGTTTTGCTCAGTCTTCAGATGATCATGCTCCAGATATTTCTGTGATTCGTTTATACTTGGAGCTTTTTGTGTGGCCTAGTACATTAGAAATTAGATTTTGTTTTTGTTTTTGTTTACTTGGTAATTTTTTTTTCTTCCTTTTTTGTTTTTGTTTTGTTTGAGGGGAATGGGGTGTTGGGTGAAGAAATTGGATGTAATTTGTAAGTGTTGTAGTTGATGAATTGTCTCGCGTTTATATCTGAATCAATAATAATGCTTTGGAATCCAATTGTTTTCTTAATTACAATTATGTAATTTTACTATGACAGTACACAGCTTCTACTGTGACGGTTGGTGTGAAATTACTTAATAACAATGCTTGTTTTATCAAGTATGGAATTTTAATTTAAAAATTCACCCTAAGTATCAAATTTAGAAACCCATAAAGAAAGGTGTGCATAACTCATACCAAACATTTGGACATCGAATAAAATTAGGTTTAAGGTATATGAATTTGGAATGGGCAAAACACATATCTTGTGTTTGATAAATTGCTAACTTCAATTCAAACTCATACCTCAAATTTCAAGAGGTAAGAGATGGAATTTAGAAACTACAGGGTGTGGTTAGAGTTAAATTGTCAAGTTTTCAAGCTTTGACATAAAGTACCATTTTACATAGTACTTTGATTCTCGATTCCAAATCCATACGGCTATACCACTTAAATAAGTCGGAACCTGATTCGACCCGAAAAAAATCTGATTTTGATATCAACTCGCATGAATACAATAATTTAGCATGACTTAAGTTTAAAATTAGAGCCGATCAAACCTGACCCAGACATTTGAATTAACCACTCTAATATGGTATTATGGTCATACGGTAATATGGTACGGCTATACCCCGTGCCATTGTGAGAACAAGGACATAAAAATACTGACCCACAAGCAGCCCATCGAAAAGCACTCCTACCGCCTACGTGTCGCTGGAACACAAATCAAGTAAAAAAAAAAAAATTCAATCTTTAAGCGAAACTTCGACAAAATAACCGCTTCCCCTGCAATTTCTTCATTCTTCACTCACATCCACCCTTAAAATTCCAACCCAGGTATTTTTCTCTCTTTTTATTTGTTTTACTGCTTCTTTTTCCCTCAATTTTTTATTTTTATGTTTGGAAAATTTTGCTCGTAACATTTGCTTTGATGGGTATTATCATATTTCTATTATCAATAATGTTGTTATGAGAATTTGTCATTCTAGGTGCAGGAATTTGAAAGTAATAAAATTTCCTATAAAGATTTAAAGAACGTGATTTGTTGCTTTTGTTTAATCTAGTTCGTATGCAATATTTTTCCTTCAAATTTGTCTTTCGTAATTTTCTTTGTAATTTGTTGATGTTTACTTCTCTTAATTTTTAACTGATTAAAACTGTTTTTCACTGATTAATGATGATTAAGGCTGAATTATAATTTTTATTATACAAATAATACTGATTAACCCTGAATTTTTTTACTAATTACGGAGTATTACTTGTTCAATTCATCTTTTTTATCATATTGGGGCATATTTATGTCCTTTTTCTTAATTTGGATTGTTTCATTTATTCCTTAATTCTGCTATCATCATTATTTTGTAAAATATGTTTTGTGGGTGGGGGTTTCTTGTAAATGTGGGTTTTTGTTTGTGTGTTGTTTTTGTAAGTGGCAAGAAGGCAAAATCATGTCCTTGGGTGGTCCATACATGGGGTGTAGCTATACATTAATGCCACAGCTAATGTTAGTAACGTAGATGGAAACGAGTTTCGAATTTGGACTTGAATTCGAAATCATGCCCGTGTCGTTTAACACTATAATTACATTCTAGTTAGCTGTATGCAATACGTGGCCATTGCTTGATATGAGTAGTGATCTTCCTTCTTTATTGATTGGTGAAAAGATGTATAAAGGGTTTTTTTTTAAATGAATAGTTGTGTAGATGCACTAATTTGTTTAATAACCCTAAAGTAGCCCTTAAATAATACTGATTAACACTTTAATTTTTAACTAATTAATTTTGTTTTTCTATCGATTAATAGTGATCTTCTTACTTTATTGATTGGTGAAAGGATGTAATCAACGGTTCTTTCGGAACGCATAATGTTGTAGATGCACAAATTTCTGTACATTCTATTGATTTTATTCAATGAATTGTGTAGAATTTTATGGGTTGAGAAGATTTATTATAAACAGCTTCAAGGATGACAGCTGCACAACTTTGTGGTGGTAAAATCTCAACAGCATTTTCTAGCACTAGGAGAAGATGGAGCAAGGCAGCCAGGTCAAGTTCTATGGGCCGATCATGTGGATTTCGTTCTTCAGTTTCATTGGCTAATCGAAAGAGTCCTGAAGATGTATCGGGACTCTGCTATATGTATGCTGACAGAAGAAAGCTGTCTCAGGAAACTATTATTCGTCGTAGAAAGCCTTTTCAGAATGTGACATATAGCCTGTTGGGTTCAGATTGCAGTGTTGAGCCTTGTGATGTGGAGGAGGAGCCTCATGATATAGTGGAGAGTGCTGCAGAGGAGATTACTTTGGAAAATGATGATGGTGTTAATGGTTTAAGGTTTGAAATATTATTAAGCTTTGATTTTTTTATTGATTTATGTCAGTGTATGTGTTTATATTTAAGGACATGACTTTTTATTCGATGTACACCTATGTAAAAATAACCCAATGATTTTGTAAACTTCTGTTTCTCTTAATCTATGCTATCTCATTGTTCTATTATAGATATTTTGTTTATTAAAACCTTATAAGGCTTGTTATGTTGAAATATATTTGGTTCTTTTATGGCTCCCAAAATCCTTGCTTTAGCAATATTTTCTGTTCAGCAATGTAAGGTCTATATGGCTGTCAAAAGTCAAAACCCTTGCTTCAATCTTCATGATTCCATTGCATGTTTTTAGTTACCATTATTAGCTGCTGAAACATCTCATGTTTTCGCATAATTCTTCTGTTTTAAGTTTTTTGGTGTATAACCCCCCTGGGATAGTTCCTTTCGCCTCAAGAGTATTATAAGTGCAATTAGTTCTTTCTTTCTTGTATTTGTTGTTAATACCACATTACCACTATTTGAGCCCTGCATCTAATAAATTTGTGTGTTATAAAACTACTTCGAATTATGATTATTTAGAAACTGTTGTTGATTTCAATCTTCTGGATTCCAGTGCTTTTTTTTTTTTTTTTTTTTTTTTTAAGGATAAAAAGATGATATGAATTATATTTCCTTTTATATGTTAGTTTGACTGTCAGGTTATTTAATGACTTTGCAGTGAGCCTTTATTTCAGCCCTCTATACATTTGCCTCCTTCGAATGTGAAACGAGAGCTTATAATGCTTTCTTTGCCGGCATTAGCTAGCCAGGCCATTGATCCTATGGCGCAGCTGATGGAGACAGCTTATATTGGCAGTTTAGGTTAAAATCCAGTTTCTCATGTTGAATTTTCTATGTTCCATTTGTGAGTTTAATAATTTTTTACTCTATATTAAAACTTAATACTCGTGGTGAATTGTGATCTAAATCTGTATCATGATGTGTGCAGGTCCTGTAGAACTTGCATCTGCTGGTGTTTCAATGTCGATCTTTAACATCATTTCAAAGCTATTCAACATACCACTTCTAAGTGTTGCAACTTCTTTTGTAGCTGAAGATATAGCGAAGTCTTCTTTAGGTATAGTATTCTTAATAGTCATTCTGATCATAATAACAGCTATTGAATTATTTTGTAATGATTGATTACGATGTATTATGTTTTGCACCCACTAGACGGTCATGAAGAATTCGAAAGAAAGCAGTCAGTTTCTACAGCACTATTCCTTGCTTTAAGCATTGGCATCATTGAGGCTCTAGCTTTACTTTTTGGAAGTGGATCATTCCTCAGTTTAATGGGTGTCTCACCAGTAAGTTTCAAATACTTTTGATTTGGTTGAGATCTTATTTTGCTTCCAAAATGAATTCATATGTAAAACTTACGAATATAGCGTATGAGCCTTTTGTTATCTGTGCTGACCACCATCTGATATATCCTTGGCACTAAACTACAGAAGTATGGCTTTACTGGCATAATTTATTGTTCTGTTGCAATCTCCCTGCAGGTTTCTCCCATGCGACTACAAGCAGAAAGATTTTTGTCACTTAGAGCTCTTGGTGCCCCTGCGGTTGTACTTTCTTTGGCTCTTCAGGGTGTCCTAAGGGGCTTCAAGGACACAAAAACCCCTGTATACTGTTTAGGCATGTTTACAAACTTCAGTATTGCTTATGTATTCTTATTGTTTCATCCCCTGGTTTATTTTTTCATGGGTGTCATTCTTATTTCCTAATTTTATTCTATTTATTCTTTTTTTTTTTAAAAAAAAAAAAAATGTATTTCTTACTTTTCTTTTTTGACTTCTTACGTGTTTTTTGAATTTTTGATGATCCTTATGCAGGTGTCGCTAATCTTGCAGCCGTTTTTCTGTTCCGACTTTTTATAAATTATTTTCAGATGGGTGTCACTGGAGCAGCCACTGCCACTGTTGTGTCTCAGTAAGTATATTATTCCTGAAGTCTATTAGCCCACCTTTTTTTTTTTTAATTTTTTTTTGGATGATCATGCTGCTTTTTTTGTGCTCCAGATACATTGGTAGCTTCTTGATGATTTGGTATCTTAGCAAGAGAGTAGTATTATTACCTCCAAAATTTGGAGACCTGAAGTTTGGGGTCTATTTGAAGTCTGGTGAGCGTCACAAAAAAAACTTCATGTGTTTTTTTACTGTTTATGATTTGTTTCCCAGTTCTTAAATTGTAATAACCTTCTATTCAATAACTACCATTACAAATTTCTCATATTATCTGCTTAGTTGGCCATGCGACTTTTAAATGTTGCATGCTTGGAGTATTGTCTGCTCCCTTACATTATCTTTTTTTACAGGTGGATTTCTTATTGGAAGAACTCTGGCTGTTCTGATAACTATGACAATTGGGACCTCAATGGCTGCTCGTCAAGGTCCTCTAGCCATGGCTGCTCATCAAATCTGTATGCAAGTGTGGCTGGCTGTCTCTCTTTTAACTGATGCATTAGCGGCATCTGGTCAGGTATGGGCTTTCAGAGTTTCATCCATCTAGGAGGTTCCATATCCAGGATATATGCTCATCAAGTCATCAGTCATCTCATCTACTCTGACTTAGAGAAAAGAAAAAGTTTTTACAACCTCCCATCTTAAAGTGTTTTATCTATGATGACTCGCAAATATTGAGTAATGTGACTATCGTGTGGGGTGTTGAACCAAATATGGAATTCTGTGTCGATGGATATGCAGTAAAGAGTGATATGTAATAAAAATAGGACATTAAAATATAAAGGAATATCACCTTTTGGATGGTTGGAGTGATTCAAATGGATTTTAAATCAGTTAATATTTGATCTTTAAACAGTTTGTTAACTATTAGCGTTTATCTAATGCTGCATCTATATTTATGCTGTAAGATCGAGTTCACACGCATCACTTTTCATTTCAGGCTCTGGTTGCTACTTCCTTGTCAAGAGGTGACTACGATACTGTTAAAGAGCTAACTAATTTTGTTTTGAAGGTAGTAGTTCATCTTTTACTCTTTTTATAACATGTTTGACGTCTAATTTTCATGTCTGTATATTAAACATGTGGTCATGGCTGTTAATGGTGGTGGTTCATTTTTTGTTCTAACTCCTCCCAGATTGGGATAGTTACTGGTGGTGCTTTAGCCGTGATTTTGGGATCATCTTTTGGTTCTTTAGCGAATTTGTTCACAAAGGATCCTGCAGTATTACAGATTGTAAAATCTGGCACTTGGGTAAGCGCCACTTTCTCATATTACTCGAGTTCATTTGCCTAAATATCCAATCGGTAGCAGCAACGTAGCATCTCATAATTGGCCAATTTTCAACAGTTTGTCAGTGCAAGCCAGCCACTCAACTCTTTAGCTTTTATCTTTGACGGTCTGCATTTTGGAGCGTCAGACTTCTCATATGCTGCTTATTCCATGGTAAGGTGCTAGGATCTTTTGGTTTAGAAGCATGTTGTAGCTTAGTCTACTAATATTTCTGAATTTCAGATGTTGGTAGGGGCAATTTCGTCGGCCATCCTTCTCTATGCTCCCTCAGTGATGAAACTTTCTGGTGTTTGGCTCGGATTGACCCTCTTTATGGGCTTGCGCATGGCTGCAGGATATTTCAGGTACGTTTTTGTCATTATGAACTGCTTTTTCATGATCTGAAGTGATTTTTGATTACCTTGAGTTTGAGAGCTTTGGTTACGATAATATGCAAATACGAAGTATGAATGATTAACAACTTTAGTTTGTGAAGCTTGTACTTATTAAACAAATACGGAGTACAATATTATGTCAATACTTGCTTCAGTTTTAGCAAGCTCATCTTTTATGGCAGTTGTCTGGTTTCAATATGTTTGTTACTCACTATATGTTAATGTTATTTCTTTTTCTTGATAATATTGTTTTTTACCTCAAATCTTCAGAATTTTCTCAAGGAATGGTCCATGGTGGTTCTTGCACAGAAACTCGCAGCAAATTCCGGTACGTGGTTGATCATTGTCCTTGTATTATCTTTTGATCTTCTAGTCTTAATTTTGCTCACTCGGGCCCATGTAAGTGTGTTTCTGCGTTTTTGACAAACACTATTAGGTGTGTTGTGTATTGCTGTAATTTTGACAGCAACTTTTATTACTTCCTGTTAATCCGTATTAGATACCCATTTACCGAATTGTCGCCTGCATTATTTCAGGGCTTTAATTAACTTGACTGAAATAGTCGGCAACAATGACCCGAGTGGTACAAAAATTCAACTCTTCAAAATTTTCCGTAGGTAATTACTGTACAGTTGATTGGTTTTAGTACGTGGATAGGTAAATGCCATTACAAATTAGTAAATTTACAGACATCATAGCAGGGCAAAGTTTTGATAATGTGCTACACTGTAATAACTAATTTGAATGTTTATTACATTCAGAAAGGATTAGTTAGTTTCACGTTCTCTGTAGTTCCATGCATCTACTACAGAGGTCTAATCTCTGCGTTTTTTCTTTCCCTGCGCCTGTTATCCTTTGTTTTCGGTAAGCTGACTGCGAGCATAATGGCATTTGTAATTCATTCAGTTGTTATGCATCAAGTTATTTTCCTGCAAAATGCCTATGTATAAGTTTCAGTACTACATTTTGCTTAAAAATCTGGTTAATTATGGGCCATCCTTGTGCATTTTTTTTGTCAAGTATTTTTTTTCTCAAGTCAAAAGCTAAGTGTTCCTTTTCAACTCAAGTTATGGAATGATGTTATCTTTGGATTAGCAATATATAAGTCTGTTGTGATTTAAATCAGCCTATGTTTTCCCACTTAATATTGATAAAAAGTTCCGCTAAACTAACAGACAAAGGAGAAGACATTGCATATCTTGATATCTATTCATTTTAGTCCATGTACATATCCTAGTCCACTAATTTTGTCATTTATTTTTAATTTTGTCAATTGTTTATTTAATCAATCTTGTTTGGGCATTGTTTTTTTAACTTGGTTCAGCTTGATTGTTAACCATTCGTTTTCTTATACTGTGGCAAAATTTCGTATTAGAACTTCTGATTTTTTTGTGTTTAATTAAGTACTCCGTGTATTGTACTATATTGGGTCTTTATCTTACACAAGTGGTTGGTTATGGTTATTTTTGAAAGTACGGAGTATTTGGTTGAATTTCATGTCTATAGTGGATGTAGGATGATTTTTCAAATTTTGATAAGAGTGATAATAGTACCGCGTAAAATTGATTTTTCATATAGATAAATCCATACATTGATCGCCGTACTTGCAATTGGGATCTGAGAACGACACTAATAATTGAGATTAAGAATACAACGACAATCAAACGCACAATAATTAACGTGCAAAACAGGGTCTAAATGCATCATACAACTTGAGCTATTGCATGATACACGGTCACTGCTCACAATTTGACCACAACACTCCTAAGAGCCACCTAGCCTACTAATTCACATGTTTTACACATAGGGTCCGTTTGGTAGGGTGTAAAACATTTTCAATGCAAAATGGTTTTTCATGAAAATCATTTTACAATGGAAAACTCATTTCAAAAAAGTTTTCCGTTGTTTGGTTAAATGGAAAATGATTTTCTATTTTAAGCATTTTTCATTGTTTGGTTGAACTGAAAATTATTTACTAATGGAAAACTTCAATTCTAATTGTATTCTCTTGTCATTTCTTTTACTCCTTTTCTTTTTATTATTTTCAAATATTTTCTTACTCATTATTAGCTACCCCAATATATTATACTATATTGTACTTCAAACATAATAATATAAAATAATCAAAAGAAACCAAATAGTCTTTTTTATAAACTTTATAAAAGTTCAACAAGAGTCTTAACAATTACCACGATAATAAAAGGCTACTAGGATTAAAACTTGTCCATATCGACATATAATTATTATCACAAAGTTGGTAGAACAAAAGAAATAAAAAATTAACGTAGAGATTTAACGAAATTTTGGATCCAAAGCTTCCTAAGAGCTTCACTCTTGGTCAAGAAGGCCCTAGCTAGCATTTCACGCTCAACTAGGTGGTCAAACGCAGCAACACGAACAACTTCATCAACATCATCCATTTTCATGATCTCCCCATACAAATTTTCGACATCAAGTTGATTGTCCGAAAACTTCTTGAGACCACTAACTACTTCTCCTAGTTGTGTAGAAATGTGACGCAAGTCACCTTCCTCTTCAGCTCGAGATCTCATCTTATGATATCTAGGCTCCGAAGAAGTTGCACTGTCTGACTTAGTAGGCTCGACTTCAATAGTACTTGGCTGCCCACTTGAATTAGTTTGAATGTCACCAAACTTCTTGGAAAAATTACCCCTTGCATTGTCCTTGCCTGCCACTATTGATATCTCGTCGTACATGTCAATTTTCTTGTTCAAATACTTCTCATGAGATGGATATTGCTGTTAAGTTAAGGAGTAGCTCACATTAATCACATACACAAGAAGAGTAACACAGATTAACGAGTAATTATCATCTCAAAAGAGTTGCCTAAGAGTATTGTTAGCATGACTGCATGACAACATCTGTTAGAATAGCTTGTAGTTAACAGCCAAACAAAGATTAAGGAACAAGATGTATGACAGTTTATATTGCGAGAGATCCGAAACAAATGGATTTTAAGAGGGGACTAGTGCTGAAATAATTAGTAATCAGATGTTTCTAAAAAGTAATAACAAGCAGTCAATCAGTCACTAGTCAGTAGGCAGGAAAGAAGCCTAATATGGCAACCTAATTTCATATATTGTACTTAATGCTGAAATAAAGAATAAGACTACAATGACCAATATGTTTGATTAGCACAAATGCAAGCTAGTCATATACATTCAGAATAAATTACTGAATAGAGCTTTTTTGGGCACTTTCAGACTGAAAATATGATGTTTAAGCTGGCTTCAGAATTGGAGGATATAACAAACATGTCTGTCAAATTTTCTTTGCTTCCATTTTCATCTTCTGAAAATTATGAACAAATTAGTTGGAAGTAATAATTTGAACAACAGCTGCAATTTCTATGCCATACACACTTTGCCTAAACCAGCAATTATATGATATAAATCTGTAATGCACTTAACATAAATCAAGAAAATAATTTTTATGTATTCTGTAATTATGGAGATATAAATCTATAATGCACTTAACATAAATCAAGCAAAATATAATCTTGCTCATAATCAGCACTTACAATACAGAAAAAATTATCGATTACCCTGAAGGATATGCACTACATATGAAACCAGTTTCTTAATACTGGATTACTGCTTTATTATCAAATTTATTATCTCACAATTGCGGGTCCAATAACTGAAGAATTATGACCATATTGGAAGTAAATGAGCAATCAATCAATCCAACAACAAAGAATAAGCAGAACATATGAACAATCAAACCTGAATATAAGCTTCATAAGCATTTGGTGAAGCAGTCACCATCTTTACATTATCATCCCAACCAAACCCAGATCTTCCTCGCACTTGAGAGATAACTCCCCAAGTAGTTCTCACTGTCCTCATATGATTCTCAACATGGTCAGCAGTACATGTGTGAAACTTTTCAGAAATCATCTTTGCAGCAGCAATGAAGGAGCTAGTCTTGAAAGCATTATTTGGCCGGTGTCCTTTCCTCACTTCTTCAGCAAGAAATTCCAATAGCTCCTTAGACATTTGACCAACGAAAATTAACTTTTTTCTCGTCTTTCACCTATATAACAAGTAAATTAAACACACAACAAAATAAACTAATAATAGGAAGCAAAATCAGAAATATAGACCTTAGCAATTGGCCAAAAAGACAAAAGATAAAATAAAAATCAATCGATTAGATATGAAGTGAATATATTTGATAATATTGTAATATATTCACTTGAACCATGAGTCTATCAAAATAGTTTACAATCTATTAAATAAGAAATAACATTCTACAACTTCAATTAGTTCGATGCTTCTTATATGCATTCCACATGGCCGATCCTATAGAATTTCGTTTTTTCACACACTCTTTGGTTTCCTCACGAATTTCCTTTCGAGTAAGCGATTTCCTTATGTCATGTGTTTCAACCTCCAAGTCGGCCTCTCGTGTAATTGCATCATTGGGATCAACACCTCTTAGGTAGTTATATATCACAAAACAAGCAAGAACCACATCCACTTGGGTTTCATATGACCAAAAAGGCTCAGCATCTAAGACGCAAAATCTTTTTTTTAACACCCTGTACGCCCTCTCTATACACATCCTCAGTGAAGAATGGCGAAGATTGAATAATTCTTGTTCATTCTCGGGAGGATTGTCGGTATACTCCTTCAAATGGTAACGAACACGTCTAAATAGAGACATAAAACCTTTACGGTCCCCATACCCAGCGTCAGCAAGATAGTATTTCCCTACATCCATAAATTATTATCAATATTTTAATCAATTCAAGTTAAGTTTAGACCACTATTATCAACAAGAGAAAAGTGATTAATATTACCTTTGGGAACCTTAATCCCTTTCTAAGTGCATCACCCAAAACCCTTGAGTCGTGGGCAGAGCCCTCCCAACCAGCAAGCACATAAGTAAACTTTAGATCAAAGTCTACGGCCGCTAGTACATTTTGTGTTGTCTTATCCTTTCTTCCTCGAAATCTCTCTTGCATCTCAATAGGAACTGATGCACGTACATGAGTCCCATCTATAGCACCTATGAAGTCTTCAAACCAAGGAAAAAACCTAGGATTGTTCTGAATTTCTGGTGGCATATGAGTTCCTGGTGGATTCACTAAATATGAGTTCCTGGTGGATTCACTATATATATATATGAGTTTTACGTAATTTGTTAATTCACGAATAAGTTTTACGTAATTTGTTAATTCACGAATAAGTTTTACGTAATTTGTTAATTCACGAATAAGCTTTGATTTATCTTTTAAACCCATGTTTGCAATTTTTAGAGTAAGCTTGGTTGTTAATGAACCACACTTTTGAGCACTCGAGCTAGAGCCAAGCACAATTTTAAGAGATCGCATGATTACCATTTACAAAAACAGGGAACTAATATATCCTTACTTCAAATGGATTAGATTGTTGTTAGATGTAAGTCCACCAGTTCGAGGAAGAAATATGCCAAAAAAAGATATAGATCAGATAATATAGGAAGAACTCACGTATTCTCAATATCTTTTGCTAAAACAATCTCAAAGCGGTAGAGAAGACGATAAAAGTGGAGGAAGCTACTATTTGAGAGCTTCCAGAAATTCATCATCTGGGAATTATTTGGAGGTATATGATGAATAATTCTTGATTGTTTTGTGGGTTTTGCATTTAGGGATATTAGTTTTCATTAGTATCTTTTTAATATAAATTGTTCATATTACAATGTAATTTAGAATTTTATACATATTGATCATCTAGTTATGGAGTAGATAAGGTGTTCTGTGAGTTGAACATTATTAATTTTATAGTATTGTATCGAGTTAGGTGCCAATCAACGGGGTTATTTGCGAATTGAATTTGATTAGCTATGGAGGAGATTAGGTTCTATGGACTCATTCTTGATATTGAAAGAACCTGGTGAATCAATTGTTTCACAACCTTTTTGGTTATAATTGTTTTTCGATACCATACTATTTACTTTAATCTAAATTTACATGCTAGCAGTTTTTTCAAGATCTTCTGTAGAATATATGTCTGTAACTCTGTATATCCCTTACGTATTGGCAAATTTTTTAAAATCACATATGGCCTTACTTTTTATTTATTTTTGGTTCTTTTAATCTTATAAAATTTTGATGGCTCGTTTTTCTCTGTGGTCTAAAGGCTGGCATGCATATTTATGGAACAACATCAGCTAAAGGAAAGCGCGTTCAAATGTATACAAATCACTTGATTCATGCAGGAATCTAATTATCTGCCTAATTGTTTTGTTAATAGCTAACTGGCTTATGCTTCTGTATTGACCAGGGTGACATGGGTGCCAAGAATTATGGCATTGTCTTGCCTGATGCAACCACTAATGCACTTATTGCTGCTGGATTTGGTGCTGCGAGTGCATGGCTTTATCTACTGTAGTCTTCGTTGAAGACTTAAAGACATGGTACTTTAATGCTAACCTTATTCTATATGGTTTTTGTATCTCTATGGCTTCTTATGTGTGTATCTTGAATGAATGCCCATGACGAGCTTGAGCTGCTCAAGCCAAGCCTGGAACCTTCACGAGCTCGATTTTTATAATTTCCGTACACAGTAACAGTTCCCATACGTCACAATTTTGTAGTTTGCTAGAACAAAATTTCCTGGCTACATACTTGACGACACTTCACTATAATTTTATCACCCACCGTTGCCTTGTAAAGAAGAAATTTGAGTTTTGGCAACGATTAAACTCGAAGCACAAAATTAATATTTCATCACCCATTGTTTTGGGCAATGAATTGGGCCTAGGCATGGGTTTGAAGCCCAAGGCTCGAAGCCCAATATATCTTGGACAACAACTTACTAATTTGTAGCACAAAGGTTATTATGTGTAACGAATTAGTTAGTTGCCTATGAGCGATCTATTTCGTCACCCATAATGTTTTGGGCAACTAATTTGCTCATTGCCCCATCTTTGTACTGTGGGCGACAAATTGTTTTTCGTTGCCCATAATATTTTGTGCAACGAATTTGCTCGTTGCCCTATATTTGTTACTTTGGGCGACAGATAATTTTTCGTTTCCCATAATAGTTTGGGCAACGAATTTTCTCGTTGCCCATATTTGTTGGTATCATACAATGCTTTGTTTATAGCCTATTTAAAATCAGATTAATCTGCCTAATAATATAAATAAATTCAAATACAAAAATTTTGAATAATGACTATGAAATGATTTATAAATAACATACTAAAGAAACGTGCAAATTACAAGATAACCCGACTTTGTCAACTAGGTAACAAAAACATAACACTTAATGCAGACTTAATTACATTGGCCCTTCTCAACGTTGCTCATATAAATCACCTTCAATAGTTGCGATCATCCATTTTTAATCGCTAGCCCATGTTATTCCTGTGTAAGTGAAAGATAAGTTAGCAACATCAAAATAATTATTGAAAACATCCTAAATTTTAGTATATAAATCATACAATTATTTTCACAAATATAAACTTCAAATACACTTTGTTACACAAAAGTATTAAAACTGCTACATCCAAAAATATATACAATTTTTTCTAAAATTTAAAATACTGTAAAATAAATGTACCAGTCTTTTTCCCTCATACTACTGCATATACTAATGTAAATTTAAATTCTATTATTCCCTAAAGGCTCTAAATAGTCTAAATTCATATACATCATAACCCAACTCTTATGCTAAGGTGATGAAGTCTAGCTTTCTTCTCCAAATGACCACTCACCAGACACACCACCAAATCACCAATCCTACATCTATCTCAAATCTAGATACAACATTTGAGTGCATCAGTCATACCCATGCATAAAATAGCATGTAATGAGTGCATCAGTCAATATCACTTGTTGTGTTCATTGCTCCTTTTTTAGTTTTTAACATCATTAAAACTAATATTATTAAATACACTCATGTGTGTTGTGCGCATATGAAAAGTTGTAGATATTGCAATCCTCATTTCATTTATAACATCCTCTCGATACATCCTATAATACATGTCAATTAAAGATAATAAATTTCATCTTTAGAGTACCGAAAAAATAATAAAAATATCAAAACAAAACACAACGAGATGAGTGCTACTAAAAGTTGAACGCCATTTCCCACATTCAGCTGCCCCTTCTCTGTCCCATTTCAACAACTAACACTAACACGAAAACATGACCAATAAATAAGTGGCATTTGTTTTAGTATGCACAACTTAGTGGCTAGGGTTCTTTGTAACCAACTAAACTAAGATTTTATTAGTTGATACTAAAGGAAGGACTTAATTAATGTAATTACATGTAATCTCTCTCTTTTAGTGGCTAGGTTAGTTCTAATTGAATTGGTAGGTGGTAGCCTTAGCCCTTAGGGATCAACATTATCGACATCCACGCACTGTGAAATGAGGACAATGTTATGCACCTTACCTTAAATAGACACTTATTAACTAATCCGTATTATATTAATGTTACATTCTTCATATAAAAATATTATAAGATGGAGTACGTACTATTCTAATGGGTAAGTTGACTGCTAATTAGGTGAGTTTTTTATGCTATGGTTTTCTCCGTATTATAGGTTATATATTTCCAATTTCTTGTTTTGTGAAATATTAGGTGAGTTTTTTATTTTCAATAAAATGCTTCCTTTCTCAGCAGTATCATAAAATCCTTCAGGGACGGTCGAAAACAAACACGAGTTCATCTCTTGTAAGAAGCTATGATCCGGTACCATGTCGGATTTCTTAAGTCGATGCTTCTTCTTTATGTCACTTTCCACAATTTGCTAATCGACCATCTCTGTTATTTTTGAACAATTATAAATGTTAGTTATTATTAAGTACGGAGTAATAGTTTGTAAATTATTTTTTTTTTAGTAAATATCAGTTTCAATCCCTAAAACTAGGTCAGGGCAACAATTTTAAAAAATGCTTGAAAAAAATACATATAGTTCCGTAAAAATAAGATGAAGAGAATAGATGTTTTACGAGAAATAATATGTTTTACGACAATAGATGTGTGGGGTTTTCCCTGGAGTCATATAAATTGGTTTGGAACCATAACAAGCTTACGAATAGGTTTATAAAGTCACGAGAATGAATTTGGTTCAATTATAGAGCAAACAAATTTCCAGGAATGAATTTGGTTCAATGATGCGACTGTTTCGAATGAAATTATGTTGTATTGATAGGTAATAATGCAAGAGATGACTCCAATTAAAATTGATTTAACATCCCTGGATCCTATTAAGACAATGACATTGAAAATCACTCATTAGGTTATCATTTATATCCATACCAATAACATCATATTGTTGATGCATGCGTTATATTATATGGTTGTTTATACTATTGGTGTTTGGACGTTTGGTAATCAACATCAATGTTAATCAATTTCCCTAGACGAATTCAGATCTCAGATGTAACACGAGCAACAACATTATCAAACACTTGTAAAAGACGCCCACTATTCGACTAACATTATCATTTTATCTCTTTGTTGCACCAAGAAAAAATAATGCGAAGTACTCCGTATGTATAGTCTCTGTCCTTATTGCTTTATGTTGTTGGCTAGCTTAGTGCTTAGTTAGCTAGGCCACTACTAATCCGAGTGTACCCTAAGGAATGCCAATAGATTGGGAATGGAAGTCTCAATCTTTACATTTTACGTAATCAAATGTTAGCAATCACAAGTATTATTTGATTATCAGCCAATTGCACTTGTAATTAATGGAATAAATATAATTTATGTGCTATAGCTTGAGCTTAGCACTTTTTTCGTGCGCGCTATATAGACGCGCATTTGCCCCTCTTATCTACGTACGTACCATCTCCTTGTGCTTCATTTAGAGAGCAAAAGAGAGGGGGATAAAAAAAAATTAAGGGTAGTAGCTCCTTAATGAATTACTTTTCTTCTTTAGGCAATAAATTTAAGCAACTTTGTATAGAATACTATCATAAAAAACATCCTTTCCTACTATCTAGCATGAAAACTTCCATGTTTAACTACATCATCTCTCATGCCAAACCATTTTGGCTTCATCTTTGTTATTTCCTCGTCGTTTCGTTGATTGGTGTCATGGCCTTGAAGGTCTCAAAGCCGAGGACTGATGTTGATCAGCTTACTAGCCTTGATCTATTTTATACCGCTGTTTCAGCATCAACAGTTTCTAGTATGTCAGCAGTTGAGATGGAAGTATTCTCTAACTATCAGCTCGTAGTCATGACAATTTTAATGCTCCTAGGAGGTGAAGTCTTCACTTCCATGCTTAGTCTCCAATTAAGAAGGTTCAAATTTTCTTCCTACGAAAGTACAAAGGTAGATAATTCAAAAGGAGAAGAATCTATAGAATTAGGCATAATCAACCAATTTTCGAGTACTAGTAATGATAATAATAAGAGCTATTCAAGCTTTAATTATAACTACTCTATTAAGTTATTAGGGTATGTGGTCTTAGGATACATGATTAGTTTACTTACAATTGGATCAAGTTTAGTTACCATGTACATGATCCTAACTCCTAGTGCAAATCATGTTCTTAAGAACAAAAGACTTATTCTACATACTTTCTCCTTTTTTGTCATTGTTTCAACTTTTTCGAGTTGTGGTTTTGTACCTACAAATGAGAATATGATGATCTTTAGGCAAAATCCCGGTCTCCTTTTGATTATCATCCCTTATCTTTTCCTAGGAAACTCGTTGTACCCGGTGTTCTTAAGGTCTGTAACATGGGTTTTAGAGAGGTTTACTAAGAGAAAAGAGTTTTATTATATGTTAAACAATTATCAAGAGATGGGTTATGACCATCTAATGTCTAGTAAAAAGACATGGTTTCTTGGTGCCACTACTATAGGGTTTTGGGTGTTACAAATCGCGGTATTTTCTGGTATGGAATGGAGCTCAGGAGTTATGGAGGGAATGAGCTCGTACGAGAAGTTTGTAGGAACCATATTTCAAACGGCTAGTTCAAGACATAGTGGAGAATATATTGTTGATCTCTCCATAATTTCTCCTGTTGTCTTGGTTTTATTCATCATCATGATGTGAGTTCTGTTGAGTCCCTTAGGTTTTGATTGATAGTTTTGAATGATGACAAACAGCTAAGGGAAACAGGTCCTTGAAAGTGTTCGATACAGTTAGGGGAACCAGCTAACATAGAACACTGTTTCCCCAGACAAGTTATTACTTACATGAGTTTTCTTATTGAACTAACTTGTCTTTATACAGGGAACAGTTATATGATAAAAGTGTTATGTACTGGTAGGGAACCAGTATGTACTGTTTCCATGGTTGCTACGTGGTACAGCAGTCACTTACTTTATGTTGTGCAGAGTTGATTCCAAGACTTGGAGCATAGAAGCCTTTCGAAGATATTTCGAAGAAAGATTGTTTGCTCATAATAGAAGTATTCAAGGAAGATTCAAGTCTTGAAGATTACATGAAGAAAAGACGATTTATGCTTTAATATGTTATCTAGGTTTTCATGTAATATGCTCCGTAGTATGCTTGTATGTTTGGGTTATATAAGTGCTTAAAAGTATATTGAAGTATGATATGAAATCTGGTACAAAGTTGGAACAGGTTTCATAACATGTTTCAATTCAGGGAACCAGGTCGGGGAACCAGGTTCACTGTACGAAATATTCGAGCTGCCGTTTTGGAAAAAGATTTTACAAAAAGATTTTTTCGAAAAGATTATTTTGAAAATATTTTGTGCAGCTGGAAATAAGATGAAATATTCTTGGTTACCTAAAAACTAGGAGTATTTATCTTAATTGATTCTATCTTTGTGATTAAATCAAATAAGATAAATACTTTCCTAAAATTACAATATATCTTATTCTCTAAGATTGTGTGATTTAAGGAAACTAGGTTTTAGGAATCTAAGCTTATATAAACTCATCTTATTTCACATATTTCGTGTGCCTCTCCAGAAATTAAAAAGAGCAATTATTTGAGAGCATATACTTAAGCACTAATCCCATTCATCAAGTCATATACAAGAGCATTCTAGTACTTAAACTTTTTCTCTTAATTAGCTTCGTAGAAGTGAGATCAAAGGGGAGTTCTTGATTCTTGTATTGAGTCTTTAACAAAGGGGTTAAAGGCTGGGTGAGTGTTTGTGAGTTCAAACACATTGGGCTTACGAGTGTAAGTCGAGAGCACATTCGGAGTAGAGTGTGGGGTTTGCTGGTTCCCGGAGTAGGGAACAGCAGAGTGTTCTTTGTCTTTGTTTTTCGGAGTAGATTAATAAAGAACTTAGGATAGGAGGACGTAGGCCTGAGTTGGCTGAACCTCGTTAAATTTGTTGTGTTCTTTATTGCTTTGTTTTATTTCGTTAAATTTGTTGTCTTCTTTATTGCTTATTTATATTCCGCTGCGTACGGGAACCAGCACAACTGGTTCCTCACACATAATCCGAAAAGAAGCAAAATTAGCCAACGATTACTTAACACTCAATTCACCCCCCCTCTTGAGTGCCCATTGAACCTTCAATTGGTATCAGAGCCTAAGCTTCTCGAAAGAGTAACATCTAGAGGAGTTAAGAATGAGTACTCAAGAATTAAGTGCAATCGGTTATGACAACAAGTCACCCAAGTTTAATGGAAATAATTATGCTTGGTGGAAGAACAGGATCCAGAATGTTATCATGGGTATTGATTATGAATGCTGGCTCGTAGTTAAAAATGGTCCTAATATCATTCTCAAGACAGATGTTGAGGGGAACCAGGTTCCCAAGAAAGATAGCGAATTGGTCACTGCTGATTACAAGTTGCTGGAGAAGAATGCTAAGGCAATGTCAATACTACAACAAGCAATAGGTGAGACCGAAACAAATCGTATATCTGGCTGCAGTAGTGCTAAGGAGATATGGGACACCCTTGAACTTGCGTTTGAGGGAACCAGTGAGGTAAAACGGTCTAAAATTGATTTAATCATGTCTAAATATGAATTGTTTGCCATGAATAAAAATGAAAAAATCAATGATTGCTTTCGTAGGTTTATGACTATTGTAAATGATCTTAGATCTCTTGGTAAAAATTTATCTGACGAGGATCTTGTGAGAAAATTATTGCGTAGTTTAACAGATGCATGGACAGCCAAGGTAACAGCAGTATACGAAGCAAAGGATCTGTCTACCTTGTCTCTGGAACAGCTGATTGGTTCCCTTATGACTCATGAGATGCTGATTGACTCTAAGTCTGAGAAGGAACCAGCAAGAGGCATGGCGCTTAAGGGAACAGTAGAAGATGATGAAGATGAAATTAGCATGATTGCAAAAAGATTTGAGAGATCTCTTCGAGATCAAAGAAAGAATTTCAAAGGTAAGCATTTTAAAAACTATAAAAAATCTAACTCTAATTCTTCTTCTACAGGATGTTTCAAGTGTGGAGAAAAAGGACATCTTATTCGAGATTGTCCTAAGTGGAATGACAAACAGTCTAAATCCGGAGATAAACAAGCATACAAGAATGCCATGATAGCTTCCATGTGGGGAGACTCTGACTCAGGGTCAGATGAAGAAGAAGGATCACCCAACTCAGATGTTTACCTAACTGCCTTTACAAACATCAAGGAAAACAGCACTGGTCCAGGAACCAGAGGGGGAACCAGTACATTCAACAAATGCTTTATGGCAAAGAAGGATGTACTACATGAACGCAAGGTAAGCTTAGAGCAAATTAGAGAAGATATGCATGAATATGATAGAGAAAATATGCTTGCTTGTATTGATTCCTTACTAGATGAATGCTATAAACTAAGTGAAACATACATAACTTGCAAAAGAGAATTAAAAGAAAAACGTGGTGAATGTAATATTTCTATTGCTAGTTGTGATCATCTAGAAGGAGTCTGTTATGAACTAAAAAATCAAGTAGCAGAACTAGAGGTTGAATTGGACAAGTGTAAAGTGGAACTAGAAAAGGAAAGATCGTTTGAACCAATTGATGGTGAAGAGGATCTGACCTCCTGGTTCCCTAGAGACTTATCAACCACTAGTGATACTCTTGATTTTTCAGTAGCTATAAGTAAAGCAAATTCGTGTACTAGAACTTCCTTGTTGAAGGCCTTTGAAACATTGGCTTACAACCTGGAAAACTCTCACAAGGAAATTGCTTCACTTAAAGCTGCACAGTTCACTGTTTCCCCTACAGGTACCAGTGTAGATGTCAGTAATACGATTGATAAGTATGAAAGTAATATTTGTGATTTGCATGCGGAAATCAATCAACTGAAAAAGGACAAGCAACCAGTGGTTGTTGACATGTCTATTGACTCTATGGTTTCAAAGCTTAATCTACAATTCGAAGCTTTAAAAAGTAACTTTGATTTTCTTAAAGAGAAAAACGAATTGTTAACTAAAACACTTGAAACCAGAGAAAAAGAACTTAATGATAGTCATAGACATGTGGACAAATTATTGAATGCTCAAGAATCCTTAAATTACCTGACTTCATCAAGAGGAAACAGAGGAAAAGTTGGTCTTGGTTATACTAGACAGAGAACCAGGACTAACTGGTCTCCCAGAGAAACCACCTGGATCAAAGAATATCAACGAGGCAAGTATGTCATGACTAAAGAGATGCATGTGTGTTTTCATTGTGGTAAAAATGGACATAAGATACATGAATGTCCAGCTAAGAAAATTAGTGCTAATAAGAACAACAAGGGTGTAAAATATGTGTGGAGAAGAAAGGATCAACAAGATGTTAATGTTGTTGAAAAGGGACCCAAGTATGTTTGGGTTCCTAAAACTAATGTTTGATTTGCTCTTGCAGGCTAGAGTGAAGGGAGACACCTATTGGTATTTGGACAGTGGTTGCTCAAGACACATGTCCGGGGATAAAGATCAATTCCTTTCACTAGTGGCCTTTGATGGAGGAAGTGTCACCTTTGGGGATAACAGCAAGGGAACCATCACTGGTTTAGGTAAGGTTGGTAAGACACTTTCTAACGCAATAGATGATGTTTATTATGTTGAAGGCTTGCAACATAATCTCTTGAGTATTTCTCAATTATGTGACAAAGGTAATATAGTTGAGTTTCAAGCCAACCTATGTCACATAGTTAACTCACAAACAGGAGAACTTGTATGTGAGGGAACCAGGAAGCATGATGTTTACATCACCTTCTTAGATAAAATCCCTCAAGACAAGTCCATCTGTTTGAGAGCTGTTTCTGACAATAATCAATGGATTTGGCATAAGAGGTTTGGACATGCTAGCCTAACACTTCTAAACAAACTTAAAACACGTGACTTAGTTGTAGGCCTTCCTAACATTAAGTATGAAGCTGATAAAGTTTGTTCTGAATGTGTAAGGGGGAAACAAGTCAAAATTTCTTTTAAGTCTAAAACTGTTTTGAGTACCAGCAGACCCTTCGAACTTGTACACATTGATTTGTGTGGTCCCATGAGAGTACAAAGTCGAAGAGGTCATAGATATGTCTGTGTTATGGTTGATGATTATTCTAGGTACACTTGGGTAATGATGTTACACACAAAGGATGAAACGTTTGAAGAATGGGTAACATTGGTGAAACAAGTGGAGAACCAGCTCACCCACAAGCTGGTCTCGGTAAGATCAGACCATGGTACTGAATTTGATAATGCTAACTTTATTGATTATTGTAGGGAACATGGAGTTAATCACAACTTCTCAGCCCCTAGAACACCTCAACAAAATGGTGTTGTAGAAAGGAAGAATAGAACTCTTGAGGAGATGGCGAGGACGATGCTCATTGAGAGTGGTCTCCCAAAGAGTTTTTGGGGAGAAGCTGTTGACACTGCTTGCTATATATTGAATAGAGGTCTCATTAGACCAAAGTTAAATAAGACTCCCTATGAACTGCTTAAAGGTCGAAAGCCCAACATTACATATTTTCGCATTTTTGGATGTAAATGTTATGTGCATAATAATGGGAAGGACCAGCTTGATAAATTTGATCCTAGAAGTGATGAGGGAATCTTCCTTGGATACTCTTCTCACAGCAAAGCATATAGAGTCTTTAATAAAAGGACTCTTCGTGTTGAGGAGAGTGT